GTCCGTCCGTTCGTCAGAGCTACTCGTCTTGGGTACAACATCTGCAGCTCCATCTCCGATTCGAACTCGGACTCGGACTCGGTCTGTCTGTCCCTCTGAATCGCACTCGCAGTCCGTCTCGCATTCGGTCTCTCAGACGCAGACCCAACGAACCTCTTGTAAGCATGTTTCGCAGTTTATCGCCAATCTTCAGCAGCCCCAACCGCAGCCAAAAAAGTGCAGCTACCAGTCACCAGCCACCAGCCACCAGGCAGGAAAGTGAACATGAACGCATGACATGTGAGTTAGGAATCAGGCATTGGACATGGAACGTACACCGCTCGGCTTCTATAAAGACTATGTTTCATTTATCTTGTGGTATTCATACATTAATTGGCACTAATATGGCACTAGGTATTAGACACGGTCCTGGTCACAATGTGGCCTGGAACGAATTGCTTCCGTGTAACATATTCCCTTCCCCTCCGTTCACTGGAAATTCTTTCTGGCTTCTTCTACAATAAATATACGGAATGCATATATGTTTCACGGGCTGATCCCCACAGTGAGGGAGAAATCAGTTGGAGAAAAATCTCTTGTGTCTCCAGTTTCTTTGGGGCTCATCAATTGGCTCTCACATCTCTGTTCGAATTGACCTGCTTGGGCTGCGTTGTCAATTAGGAAGAGGTTCTCGGCCAGTTGGGGCGACCAACATGATCATGATCCACCACCCGCTGGCCCTGGCAGTCAATAATCGAAATACTAAACCCGCTGCACTGCACTGGAGAGAGCAGGTTGGCCAGCAGCACGGGACGTGCACAATTTGGCGCCCTACTTTGGAGCCTGCTCCTACGCAAAGTGCATGGAGCGGACTGCGGTTAAGTGTTAATAAATCGCCGGGGACCCAATGAAGAGCACGGGAATTTGTATCAAACTGTTTTTATATTATTTTTACAACTTCGTTTGGGCCGCTGTGCAAGTGGGGGAAGCGAGAACACAAGGGACACAAGGGAGGGGAAAAGGCCCTTTGGTTGCGAGCCCTTTGGGGCCGGTTATTACTTAACAAATTAGCTCAAATTAATCAGAAACGAAAGTAACGCCACATGCAGCACTTCGGGGTCAAGACAAATGGATGCCTGCCCAGTGTGGGGGCAGCTGCGGTCCGGCAGCCGTCCGATCGTAGCCGTCCCATCCACTTGGGTGGTGGATCGCACTCTATGTGAGGCGTGGCGTCGCGAGGCGAGGCGGTGCAAGGCCAATGACAGCATCGACGCATCGGATGCAACGCAGTGCAATGGGTGAGTGGGGCATGGAATGGCGCGTATGTAAGTGCATCCATTCTGATCGTCCTGGGGGCTGCGAGACGCTTCAGACAATTTGCAAGCTTTCAATCAAGGCAGTCACTGGGGCCGAGGCTCAGTCTCAGTCTCAGTCCCTGTCTCTGGCTTAAGGTTCCTCTCAATTCTCGATTCTTGATTCCCGATTCCCTCTAATCGATCACAGAACACGTATGGCAGCATCTCTGGCCGCTGCTGTCTTTGCGGCTGCAGGTTCGATTCCATCATTCATGCGATCAGCATTATCTGCCGTCAGGCATCGTTGTCTGCCACAGCCACTGCCACAGCCACTGCCAGAGCCACTGCCACAGCCACTGCCACCGCCGCAGATGCCGCAGTCCAACGGTTTCGGGGTTGGGCTTGGGTTTGGATCCTCTCGCATCTCCAGTGCGTAAGAGGTTCGCCAAAAGCGTAATTAACGTTCGCATATTTTGCTGTCGGATTATCAGCCCGACTCCGACTCCAACTCCACGCTCGGCACTCGGCTCAGCGACAAAAGCTTCCTGTGCAAATTGAACGGATAATTGCGATGCATAACAGTAAACATGCCAGTACCAGCCCCAGCACCACGGCCAGTGCCAGTACTCGAAGAGAAAACTCTGCTGGAGAGAGGGAGGGATCCCAGTCAGGGACTGAACCCAATTAACTAAGCAACAAATCCCCAGCAATTAATAATCGCTTGACAATGTTGGCCGGCCGCGAGGGTGGTCCGATCCCTGAAGGGAAACCCTATAGATTTCCCAGCAAACAGAACAGAGCCCTGAGATCGGAGACTTTATGGCCGAGTCAGCCTCGAGTCTCAAGTGGTTTCTCTGTTTGTAAAATGATATGAGCACATTTCCCTGCAACAATCGAACTCTCCCTTTATCCTAGGCCCATCCACACTCTTTCACTCCGGATAGCCTCTAATCCTTCGCTCGGCCGCTTATCGCCCGCGCCCTGGACGCTAATTTGATGAGTCATCTGTGCCGACTTCGACTGCACTCCGATAGGCATCTGCCCCTGCCCCAGTCCCTGCCCCAGCCCCTGCCCCCTCCTCCGTACACTCTTCATTCACTTCTACCTGTTCGGGGGGTATACGTATTGTCGTAAATTTAGGGTTTGTCATTGAATGGGAGTGTTTAGGCATCATCTTGGGACTTCGTATTTGTGTTTGTATTGAGTTTTCGAGGAAAATGTCACAGAAATGGTACAACGGGCGGGGAAGGGAAGGGAAGGGACGGGACCGAAAGAAGAATGTCAACACACAAAGTACGGCGCTGGCGAAGCGGATCGGGGAAAACTAGATGATAATCGGATCGTCGTTCCTTTGGGTATCTCATTTCTCCATAAAATGTTTGTAACAATGAAAATTCTTTCTCCCCCCCCCACGCTCCTCTGTCTCTGTTCTGTCTCTCTCTGTTTCTGGGTTCGTAATTACTCTGATATCGCTCTGCCTGGAGAACGCTTTGAAATGGAGAATCCCATTTACACGGTTCATCAATCGAAGAGAAAGGACCTGTGCCGCTTCGGTTGAGGATAAGGACTCGCACATCGACAAGAGCAGATGTTGGCGGGAATAGGAGTGGATAGAATGTGGCCTGAATAGATCTTAGGCGTTTCATCTTGAGAACCATCTACATATATGCCTAATTAAATGGAGAACTTTATAGATTTGAAATTAAGAATTCGGGATTAAATATTCCTCGTTTCGTAATATTTCTCATTAAATAACAAATGCGTTTGTAGGCCACAATCAAGCGGGATGGTGCTTTCGGTCCATTTTCGGGGATATCTCTCAAATGCAAATCCCGCGGCCCAAGCGCCCCCTCTGCTGAGTCATCTGCGGTCGCGATTTCGGAGTCGGAGATTCATTGGCCATTCAGTTGCCGGCTGCCCCCCGCAGCTATCATAAAATGCCGACGTCGCCAAAGGAAGTGGCGGCTAGCTGTGGCAGGGGGTGGAGGTCTGCGGAGGTCTGCGGAGGCCCGGTCTGAGTCTGAGTCTGGCTCTGGCTCTGGCTCTGGGTAGTGCCTAAGGTCGGTCGCCTACTTACTCCGGAGCTGTCAGCTTATCGGTTCGCTTTTAGCGCACCAACCTCTCCAACCTCTTCAGAAAGAGTGAGTGTCCTGCGACGGTGGTGTGTGTGAGCGACTCTCTGTGGTGGTAGCTCATTATCGGAGTGCGCTCAATGGAATGTAATGGTGGCATCTCCACTTGGCCTGGCCCTCTTCCGAGCCAGAGGCAGCCCAGAGGCTGCCTGGCATTCACTCTCATTCGCTCATCTCCGCACCGGGATCAGGCAGTTGCGTGCGGCTGTCTCCGCTGGCATTTCGTGTTATCCTTCAGCTCAATTTCGGCTACTTTTGGCTCTGCTCTGCTCTGCACTGCTCTGGGGTGAACGGGTGTACGGGTGCGTTGCATGTCGCATGTCGCAAGTCGCTGTGTCGCCGTGTGTGTCTGTCGCTGTCTCTGTCTCTGTCCCTCGGTATGTTTGCTCTCTGTCTGTCTGCCTGCTGGCGGCGATAAGGTTTTAAGTTATGACCTTTTAAAATGTCCAAATGCGGCGATAACACGTGATTGCTACAAATGTATTCGAAGAGTGCACCGGATCAGCGGATCAACGGATCAGCGCCGCAGCTCGGAAGTACGGAGGGAGCAGAAGCAGAGGGGCCACTGCCCCTGCCCCTGCCCCTGCCCCTGCCATGGCCGCAAACTACAGGACATTCCAGCCCCATCGGAGACCATCTTCATGTGAAGGAATCATAAATATCGGTCAAAACATCAACTTTTTATCTACGAGTATGCCACACATCGATCGTACGCCCTCTCGTGGTCCAAAGGGAACGAAGAGAGAGGGAGAAGGGGCGCTTCGAGGGCTGGGCACAGGAAAAAGCTAATGGTCTTCATGGTGCGTGATTGAAGCTGGAAAAAATGCTGAAAAATATAATAATATTAACTAAATTACATATAAAATATCCCTCATATCGAACTTTTTTTGATATTTTTAATTTGAGTTTTTGTTGGGCAATTTTATGCTTGGATAATATCCGTTAGATTCCAGCTTGCAACCTTGCAACATACTTAATACAATATACATATACTTTCGCGTAATTACATTACCGTCCACACTTCCCGAAGAGGTAATCACTCCTCGGTGCCTGCATCCCTGGTCCGCCTGCGCCGCTGGCAGTCTATTCTCCGCGTAAAGGGGGGGGGGGCGGGGAGATCCAGTGAGGGCTCTGTGGAAACGGGGGTCGATCACTTTGTAAATTGTTGGGCCTTGCATAATTTTAGCATAATTCTTATTTTATTTCCTCCGCCGTGTGCGTGTGTGCGTGTGTGTGTGTGTGCTATTGTGGATGGCCCAGGAATTTCATCTTTCGCTGGCATATGTCGATTGTGCCCTGATATCCGTCGCTGGACGGTCAGCTACCCGACAAAATGCTCCAAGGGATTTCTTCTCTCCTCGGCACTGGCCAGTGCTGCTTATTATAAGTTAGCCTCCTCCTTGAGCGCCTCGCCTCCTCCATGCCAGAGCCTATCCCCCGCCCCACTACTCACTTGCAGGGTCGCTCCGAGAGGGAGACGAGACGTATTCGTATAGATAGCTAATAATAACAATAATAATATGCGTTCGCTTATCAAAATTGACGTCAGATCTTATTGATATGCATCTGGCAGTGGTCGCGGAGGCCGAGGCCCTCAGCAGTCCTGTAGGACGGGACTGGGACTGAACTTTGGCGGGCACAAAGGAAAATCGTGTCAGAGAATCGCTTGGGCTTAATTGAAGCGTTATTATGAGACTGTCACATACACGCACGTACATATGTATGAAAAGAGTTCCCTCGAAATCGAAACATCGGTTGCAACGCTTGTGCGAGAGTCTCCTGGATCGGGATCGGGATCGGGAACGGGCCCGGGACTGGCATCAAGCTGCGCCTTCGCGAAAACTTCACCTTCGCTCAGTTTGACAGATGCCTCAGAATGTTTAAGCACCGCAGGCCATCTCGGAACTTGGCTCCTACGTCTGCTACCTTGAACGGCAACCGTCTTTTATTAATCAGCAGCCGTCCAGCGAGGGGGGCGGCCGGCAGGCGGCGGAGCGGTTGCGATATTATTTATATCGAATTTAATAATAATTCTTGAGCCTCTGATGCGTAGGTTGCCGCTGCTTCTGCTCTCGGCCAGTTTGATCGGCTCAAAAAATTTGCATTGATCGACACTGCAGATATGACCATCCCAGGGGTCGATAGTCAGGCTAAGGCACTGAGAGAAAAAACAAGAGCCCAAGAATGTACTATTTCAGTTACCAATAATTATATTCAAATTGAAGGATTTTCTGGGGGGTTTTCTGTACGCTTTAGTAGAATATTATATAGAAAATTGTTCCAAGCAAATTCAAACAAGATTCGAGGGTACATTGGTGGTACCTATACTATATATATCACCTTCCGAGCCCTTCCCACTTTCTCTCAGTGCAGTCGGGCAACGGCAACGGCAACGGCAACTGGCAACTGGCAAATGCCAAGACACGTACGAGATGTCGAGATGCTGCGGCTCCCGATCGGTCCAGCGTTTATGATGGACGATTGCGGGCGTGGAAGGAGTCGCGGGACGGCGGATTGGCGGAAGGATGGAGGGGTTTTGGGCGGGGGCGGCAGGGCCATTCAACTTTGTATACTTTCGCCCGGGTGGAAAGTATGTGCCGCCCTTATTAGCATGCCGGGGCCGTTCCCGGCTCGAGGTTGCCGATTCCCGGTTCCCGGTTCCCGGTTGGCGGAAGAAAAGTGGGTTACCGCAGTGTCCCTGCACCCCGCTCCCCGATCTCTGGCTTAATGTGGCATTTTGTTAAATTGCAGCGTTAAGAATTGCGCACATAAAGCATTTTGTTGTCAAACTGATTTCTGATCATACATAATTTTTATCTTGATCCCAATAAGCCTTACACGATCAGAATACTGCTCCTCGAGACCAGTTCGGATCAGCGTGTCCCGGCTCGGACCTCGGACCGCGGACCGCGGCCCCTAGGGCCCCAGAAACCAGAAACATTGTATCGACATCGTCATCGGCATCCAGATCGTTAATGTATGCATACGTGGTCAGGGGCGATATACATATACACATACATGTACGAGTACGTGTGTGTATTCGGCCTTAATGGCAATTCGTTGGCCAACAAATGAGTCTCTGCCATATGCAAAATATATCAAAGTTGGTAACATACTCTAGGTCGGTTCAAATGTTCACCTTATTTGTCGCGACGATCCCTATCCCTATCTCTAGCCCCATCTCCATCCCCATCCCTCCACTCCGTAGAGCTGGCAGCCAGGTGGCCGCCAAAAATGGTTAAGTGGCCGACACTTAAGTGCACCATAAAAATCGAAACGCATAAATCATCGAACGAAATCCACCAATAATCGGTTGAATCGAAGTTTCGAACACGAGTCTGCGTTACTTATGGGACTCTCTCGTTTTGGGTAGGGTTTAGATTGACACAAAAATCAAATAAATATTTATGGCCACAGTTATGAACTAGTATTGGTCGTCGTTAACTTTGAGGAGTATCGATTTGGGCTTTAACACCGATCCAAACGCCCCATTGAGTATGCGATAACTATCAATAAAGTTGGCTGGGGATCTCCGATTCAACTATGATCCACAGCTGTTTGCTTCCATATTTGTCCATTGTTTCCGCTGTATTGACGGATACTTGATGGGAATTGCCGCTTGTTACTTTTATAGAGCTGAAGAATAACACTCTTTGTCTCGATTGATCTGCTAAGATACCCACAACTCCGTCTGGGACTCTATTAATCTTTACTTTTGTAATTCTGTGATCACATTAAACTTTAATTATTAGGTAGACCATTAAATGGCTGATCCACTTTATGTAAATTCGATTTCTTAGCATGAGATCTAACTAAATCTATAGTTGCAGTACCCAAGATATCATTTTGGCCGCAATATACGGACTTTAGATACGCGTTAAGTGTATATCCACCATATATACATTGTTGTATCGTAAGGTCTAACCCCTCGCGAGTCCCTCGTCAGAACTTGTTCACTTCCTTGACCCAGTTAAAGTCGCAGGGGAACAGAATTAGTTGAGCAATCCGAATCCGAGTCGTACGTATTTTGCATCATGTTTGCCTTCGACTGGGCCCACTGCCCCACCTTCGGGCATCTTCGGCCGTGGCCTCCTCGGCCCTCCCACCTGAGTGGGGCACATAAATTGGCTCTCAATATCCACAAAACGACAGTAAACGGTCATTTTTATCGAAATAATTGCTTTTTTTGGTTCAGTTCGAATCGGTTTGGCTTTGGCTTTGGCTTTGGCTTGGGTCGGGCTCTGCAATGGTAGCGAAAGTTTTGATTGCGTTTCGCTGGCGTTAGCAGGCCAGGCGCACTGGGGTAGTGGCAGTGGTAATCCACTTCAGCGGACAACATTTCATTACGGGCTCGGAGTCGAGGGTCGGGGCTGCCAGTGGTCGAGAGTGGAGCGCCGGAGGCCCGGGCCAAACGAGCCTCCTGACGATTGTTGTAACCCATGGATTGAATGGAATGGAATGGAATGAAATGGGGCTCGGTATGAGTGTGTATCTGCTGATTGTGCATACGCACGAAATCAATAAATAAAAGCAGCCAGAAATTGCCCAGTCGGAGTCCCAGTCCCAGTCGCAGTCCCAGTCGCAGTCCCAGTCGCAGTCGCTGTACCAATCCATGTCCGAGTCGGAGGGCGATTGGGAGCCGATGCCCACGCCGCCCTGCCTCAATCTGAGTCTCAGATTCAGCTCGAGCTTCGGTCTGCTGCTGATGCGCGCTCATAATTCATTTCATTATTGTTTTGACATTTTATTTATTGAATGCGAACAGGCGTGCGTGCCCTCCCCCGTGCGCTGGAGCGGTGTGCTCCTCGGTGCCTCCGCGAGTCTTCCACCTCGTTTGTTCGGGGGAGAGCAATGTTTTGTGCAAATTGTTAACGGGCTTGTTAAATTGTTTCATTCCAGCCCCAGCCCCAGCCCAGCCCCAGCCCCAAATAAGTGAAATCAATGCCTCTCAGATACCAAAACAACAAGCTGCCCCTCCCGTGCGTGTGTGCGTGTGTGAGTGTGTGAGTGTGTGCGTGTGCATCTGTGAGAGTTCGAGTGTCAGCGCGAGTGCGTGTGTGTGGTCTGGCGAGCCAAACAAAAGACTTAGGCCACAAACTTGGGGATGACCAACACCAACACCAACACAGACAATGGAGAGGCGAAAAAGTATTTCGAGCAAACAATCGAAATACTTATGGAAATGTTACAAGGCAACGAAAAATTAACATAAATTTATTTGAAATCCAATTTAGTTAAGCGAGTGAACCGGTTCGGCAGACGGCTTTTACGGCCAATTCTCTTAACCTTTATCGGGAAAACGGCCGCGACGGAAAAGAGCCCATCGATTAATGGCACTGAGCGGGAATTTTCAATTAGACAAACCATTAAAATGGCATTCCAATTGGCATGGCAGTACCCACATGCCGTCACCACGCCCACGCCCACACAACGCCCCCACCAAGTGCGGGAATCGATGCGATTCCCAAATGGATAACAATTAATACACACCTTGCTGGAGCGCTCTAGTGTCTCTTTGATGGATGATGCTCCGAGCTCCGAGCTCCGAACTCCGTCCGTACTTTGCCCAGCTTCGATTCAGAATAAGTTATGGAAATTAGCTTGCCGTAGAGAGAGAGAGAGAGAGAGTTAATGGAATCAAAACGCCTGCAAAACCTATACACCGCGCCTTTCCCTTCCTGCCGCAACGGCGTGCAACGTGCAACGTGCAGCCACAGCACGCAGAAGCAGAATATGACAATATGACTGGAAATTAATCTTGCATAAAGCCAAACACCCCATTCCCTTCCATTCCATTCCACAGAGCCCAAGTGCCAGCTAGAGAGGGCGTTGGAGCAGACAGACGACAGACATACGGCCATGTCTAGGCAGGATGTGGCCTGCCATTGTCGCCCGATCCCTGAGACTCTCTGAATGTGAACTTGATTATGTTTTATGAGGCTCTGTGAGGCTGATGCAGTTGCTGCAGTTGCATGCTGCAGTCTGCAATCCTCCAACTCTGTTGCATCTGTATGCCATTAGATGTCGCCCATAAATTGTGGTATCATTTTTTATATGCTCTTTGGACTGGCTATCCAAATGACCCAAGAAACGGGATCCCCCTCGGCCCACCCTCCGCCAAAGGCCCCTGCCACCCGACCCGTTCAATCTGTTCAGTCTGTCGGGTGTCGGGTGTCGGGGGTCGGGTGGGCGTTAATCTGTTTGCAACTTTTTGATTCGATTGTTCAGTTTCCATCACTTAAGCCTTTGTGACCTTCATTACATTTCATGGACGATGATTTGTCCATTCCTCGAAACATGTATGGCTATCCATAGGGAGAGTATTTTAGTTGCGCCCCATCGATGTCTATGCCCCAAAGAACTCACATTTGATGCTTGTTTGAATTTTAAATGGGCTCGAAGCAATCCAGCCATAGGTACATATGTTGTTTTAAGGATAATGGCCATTTTTTCCTGCACATATGTGGTACTGGGACTTCAGGAAGACAAATTCTCGCAATCCGATTCCACTGTGCAGCGACGCCTACCCATTTTCCTACCTCCTTCCCCGTCCCCGTCCCCGTCCCCTTCCCCATCCCCATCCCCTTTCTGTGGCTAGCCACCTTTCGTATCATTGTTGATGACATTTATGTCTTAATATTTGCGCAGACCCAGATGAAAATGCAGTGGCACTCAGCCGGTACCGTTAGCCAGCGCCATTAGCCAGCCCGAGAGACTCAGCACACACACACACTCGCGCACAGGGATACACACACACATGCTCCAGCCATTAATTTCCATTTATGGATTAAGCCAGAGAGAGAGAGAGAGAGAGAGAGAGAGAGAGAGAGAGCTGAGCAGCAGGAAGCGGGATGGGAGCCCGCACGCACAAAAGCCTTTAATAAATGCAACGCCATTACGGCCAGCACATGCTTAGGAGGAGCCAGGAGCAGCCTCATCAGCAGTGGTAGCTCCTTTCAGCCCCAGCCAGAATCGGAGTCGTCGCTGGAGCTGGAACTGCAGCTGGAGCTGGAGCTGAAGCTGGAGTCGGGGCAGAGCCGAACTGCAAACAACTCAATTGCCATTTTAGTTTTCCGAGCTGCTTATCGTCAGTCCCCTTGGTCGGCCCCTCTCAGCTGCAGCTCGCCCCAAATCTTTAAATGCTCCCCGTGTGATTTTTCTTGGCCGCAGCGCAATGGAGGCGAATGGAGTCTCTGGGATTAGTGCGCGTGAGTAATGATTTTGGCCTGGGTCGGAGACGGAGACGCAGACGCAGACGGAGATGAAGTTGGAGACTGGAGACTGGAGACAGAACGTAGGCTGCCGGAGAATACCGCAGAAGTAGACGAGTATTCATGTGAGCTGAATTGGAACTGGAAATAGACACAGATGGTTTCTGTTCCATGCAACTGTACTGAAAGGCAAGTCTTTGTAGTCTTACGAGCCTCTCCTAGGGATTGATCGTATCTTAAGTTCGAATTACCAAAATAATGTACTACTGAATATGTATTTTATGGAGATAATAAGACAGGATAAACCTGAAGAGACAAGAGAGACCTGGAGTAGACAAGTCACACCAAGAAACCAACAAATTGAGCGTGGCTCAGAACGATTAGGCATTCAATTGTGGCCCATAGCCAGTCCTAAGGGAAAGTGGATGCAGGAATTGTGCTGGGGCATCGACGATGGAAATCTGTGCAAACACTCAGCCAGGCAATAGACAGAACCTTGACATTCCTTGGACATTCCCCCATCATGCAACTGTAACGCCCCGAAACCAGCAAGCAGTGGAGGAGTGGTCGTGGTCAGAGAAGGATGGCGATGATGATGACGACGCGACGTCGAGGTTGGGCAGGGAAAAGGGTAAGGGGTAAGTGGTACAGAAGAAGGACGCAGACGCAGACGCGGACGAGGTGCTGCCGCTGTTGATATTAATGTTGCCCTGTCCGAATGGCAAATGAATGCCATCAATCAGCGGGAAGAGCGCGCGCTCGCTCCGAGGACAAGTAGAAATACACAAATACCAATGCCAGCCCAGGCATGGGGCATGAGGCATGTGGCATAAGGCCAGAGTGCGCGGAGAGTTGTTGTGTCTTCAAGTTGTGTTCAGTAGAAGGTGCGTCTTGGTCTTGGCCACCCTCACTCTCTGCCACTCTGCTCCCTGCCAAAGTGTACGTGTGTTTACCTCCTGTTTAGTATGCCTTGGCCCTGGCTTGAAGGGTAAGCAAAGCAAACAAACACAAACACTCAGGCACCTGGCCCTGGGCCAAGGGCGCATCCGCTGCTTCTTTTGTCTCCACTTGACAAATGTGAGAGTGCGAAAAGTCTCCAGAGCGGGCGCCATTAATTGTTTCGCAGGGGCCGCGAGGGGTGAAGGGGTGGGGCGATTACATTACCGAACGCCATATTGACCGAGCTCACTCACCCTCCTCCCTCCCATTGGGTGACGTCTTAATTGTCGTCTCGGTGCGGCGGGGCGTTAAATATTAAATTTATGTTTCTATGCAATTTATTATACCAAACAGAAACATTTATATAAAGTTTATTGCATAAAGCCTCAATTGGAGGCCTGATCGTGCTGACAAGGCAGCGCCACGCCCCTTTCGGCTGAGCTTTTGATGATGTTGGCCAGAACGGTGCCAGGCCAAGGCAGCCCGCGTTGATTTTGCTTTTATTAGGTTTCATTTATATGATCTAGCCGGACCATGTGCGCAGCTCCCCACAGTCTGGGCCTCCGTCCGATTCCTGGTGCCTGCTCTGGTCTGGTCGGGTCTGCCCTGGCCTCTTGTCTTGTCTTGTCTTGTCTTGTTTACCCACCCAAGTTCGATGCGGCCTGCGATAAGCTCCGGTGTGGCTGGGCGCCGGGCGGCGGGCGGCAGCCTTCCTCTTTTGCTGGCTTCCTTCTTTCGCCACAGATCCGGCCTTCGACTAATGCGGAGTGGAGTGGAGTGGCTGCAACAAATTCGAGCTGCAGCTGCGGCTGAGATTTAATTTGGGTCTGCTTTTGCAGCTTTTTCCTAAGCAGGTCAACACGGAGGTTCAATAAATGTCCCAAATTTGTTTGGCTCTCTCTGTGGCTGGCAATTCGTTAACTGATCTGCTGTTGTCAATATACAATATTTTATGTTGCTTTCGATAATTTTGCGGGCATCAGGAGCGGAGGACGCCGTTTACATTGCAAGTTTCGCCAAGTTGTGTGAAATCTTGAAAGGTTTTACCCGATGTTACCCATCAGCCGTTACCCGTTAATGGCACATACTGTCCTTCGATCTGCAAGGCCATCAAATGCTCCAGTCCTGAAGGTAGTCTTAATACTTGGTATTTTGTGGGTCAACGTCCATGATGCGAATCAAAATCGATTCTGCGCCACCAAGTTCATAGCTTTTTAGAGCATCTCGGCGTCGTTCAAGGCCCGAATAGCTTTGATTTACCCTTTTTGTTTCATTTATCGGCTTTTGTGCATCTTGCTACTCTCGTTTTTTCGTGCCCAGCAACATGACAGTAGAAACAATAACCATGAAACCGAGCTGCAAAAAACCCATGGCCCGGCACAACCGCAGCAAAAACGGAATCATAAAGCATTTTGACATTGTTACAAGTCAGCGGGAGATATTTCACTTTTAACCTTTCGCTTGACTTTTCCGCAGTCTTCGAGAAGACAAAGGAAACAGCGCCGGAGTGTGGCTCCCGAGGAGGAGTGGGCGGTGCTATGTTTGGGAGCCCGGAGTTTACGAGTATCTAAGTACCGAAAATCGTTGCTAATTTGTTTCGTCATTCCACCATTGATCAGAATTCGAATCTACGAGTGCGACTGTGACTGCAACTGCATTTGCCACATTCTGTGGATGCGTCTCTGTCTGTGAGCCTCTGCCGTGGGCAGCGTCCATCGGTTGGGGTCGGGAGCACACATGGATGATGTGATTTATAGGGACCACGCGTGGCTGGAGCTGGAGCCGGAGCTGAAGCTGGAGAATGTGAAAAATGAATACGAGATTTATAACATCTGCCTAATTGAATGTTTGATCCTGTGCATAAATAACCAAATTAATGAAAATGATTTTTAATAAATTTCTCAATTGCATGTTTACCCCGACTGCATCCCGTCCCGTCGGACATGCCCTGTCCGGCTAGACGCTCTGCGGGCCCAGCGGTGTCCTGCTGTGCATGAGTAATGTTTCTCTATTAGTCGCTGCACCAATCCGGCTAATGGAGGAGCCATGCTGTAGGACAGGAGTGCCACCAGTGCCACCGAGAGCAGCAACAGCAACAGGAGCAGGAGCAGCTGCCTTCGCTGTGTCATTCACCCGCTTAATTATGAAGAAATGCATCCCTTTTGCAGTAATTAATGGCGCCATTCGCAGAGAAGAACATTTTCGTTGGTTTTAGCTCAATTCACAGATAATTGGGGCGGCAACATTGTCGCCCAGTCCCCGTCCCCATCCCCGTCCCCATCCCCGTTCGTATACGTGTCTGTGTCTGTGTCTCGATGTCGCCATTTCCCTTGCGCTTTTGATTTCCCGCGAATCCCAACCCCAACCCCATCCCCATCTCATCTGAGGCGAACCGCAATGAACCGATCTGATCGCATGGCAATGCCGCGCATAACTTGTGGCATGCCCCGCTTGACAACTTCAATTAACGATTGCCGAGTGCGTGTAATTAGCGCATTTCTGTCCTTATATTTATGCGTGTACTCGTGTACCTTCCAGCCGCTCTCCTTGCGACGTTTTGTCGAAAATGAAACGAAATACACGAATTTTGCAGTTTTGGCATACTTCTTCTACAGACAAGAGCCACAGAAACAGAAGTACGTCCGCGCCGATTCCCCCGGCCATTTTCGGCAGCCGAGTACATCGAGAGATATCAATCGAAAAGAGGAAATGGAAGCCGTTTCTCATCGCCATCAGTATCAGTTCGGACAGAGTTATGCACCTCTGGGCCCGGGCGTGCGTGCGTCGGCGGGGCACTTCCCTTGACAGGAAAACACCAATAAATGTCACCGACTCCTCTGCGACTGTGCCTAGGCCAGGGTGTCTGCCTGGAATTTCTAATGTCTCATTGGGCCATGGGCCGACTCTCGCTGGGACTACCCTGTAGCATTGGCCGGACAAACGGCGTATGGGAAAAGTAGGGAGACTATCTCTCAATCATTTCCTTCTCTGTGACTATCTTCATATCGGTTATTAGTGGCACAAGTATTGAAATGATCCTTGTATTCGACACCAGGTATCCACAAGTCGGTTTATGTAAATGGATTCAATCACTGCAACATTCCCACATATTGTCCAGTCAGTCAATGGATTGTTGAGTTTCATAAATCAATGAAACGTAGCAGCAATTCTAAAAATGCAGAGCTGCAAGTGCGGCCCCTGCCCCTGACCCTGCCACTGCCACATGCCACATGTCTTTGGGGTCATTGCTTTCCGTAGATAACCAAAATCAGGAATTGAAATGCAGCCCGCGATGGCCAGACATGACGACAATTTGTCTGCGATAACCCGTGTGGGGGGTAGACACTAATGTACGGCACTCGAATTTATAGTTCCGGCTGTGGCGGAGAATCTCCCGGCGAATGGGAGAATGCGAAAGTAAAAGTGTGCAAATGGCGGTCTGGTCTCGGTCTGGCCGTGGCGCGAGAATGAAAAAAAAAAACGTGCAACAATAGCAGCAGTTTGTGGCAGAGACGCGGAGGCGCGGGTATGGTTGCCTGGGTGGGAGCTCAGGGAAGCTGGGGGCAATCAAAGCCACGGCACGACTAGGAGGATGAAATTGAAGCCGCCCCTCCATGACTTTATCTCCGTCCTGCTCTGCCGCCAGACGATCATCTGTCCCGAAATCTGGGAGCTGGTCAGGCGCCCGCCTGGCATTCATTGGACGCTTGCGACACCGTCATGCGCGTTGTTTAATTGAATATAGCTTTGTAGAAGCCTTGTAATGGCCTGCGCAGATTTCGCAATTTGCGAAACGAACTCAGATAGCTCTGAACTCGCAGAGCTCCCCACTGATACGCCTGGGAGGGGGCTGGTTCGGTTTCATGTCTGGTCGGGGGCCATAATTGAGATGCTTTTGGGGCGATAATAAATTATGAAGGCAAAAACTGAAACAAAAATAAATGGACGATAAACGGGGGGCGAGCTCCCAAGAAAGTGAAATGCGGACCCTCGTCTCTCCCGTGTTCGTGTTCGTATTCGTTTCGTGTTCGTGTTGGTATGGAGAAGCCAAGGCAGAGACGATTAGGCCAGGGATTAGGCCAAGTCTCCAAGCCATAAATTATACATTGTTTTTCTCCTCAGACCGAAAGCTAACGGGACTGCGCCGCCACATCACAAAAAGGGAAATCGAAAGTGCACTGAACCCGCTTAAGGATTAGGTTCGAAAAAGTTCGGATCGTGTCTCCGTCAGTCCGACTGTCGAAGGTGTTGTGTTCCTTGATCGGCAACAACACGGTACAGTTTTTTAGGGGCAATATCGCGCGATAAGATTGCGCTACAAACAAAGCGAGAAGGGGAGCCACTTCTGCTCAGACTCTGCTGGCCAATTGTGCAATGATATGGTGTTAGGGCTGTCCAACAGATAACCGACAGATATCTCAGTTACGTTCCTAAGCGCACGCGACGTATACTTAATGTATCACAAACCTTATCAGACGGGGAACTCTAAGTAGCCCCAGCTGGCCAACCCTATAAAAGCGTGGGGGGCCAGCTGCTGGTCAGTTATCAAAAATGCTGTGGCCAAAAATAGTTTCCTTCGCGCTGGTCAGCCTGTGCCTGGCAAGAGTCCACCAGGCCGCGAACCAGGACTCCTCTGCGAGCTGCCCCACGGGCTTCAGCCGAGTGGCCGACAAGTGTCTGTTGGTGGGAGCTGGCTGGAAGAATTGGTTCGAGGGCGACCGCTACTGCCGCACCCTCAACGCCAGCCTCCTCAGTATTCGGAACCAAACGGAGTTCAACCTAATCAACAGCTACCTGCCGGAATTCGCCGCCTACGAGCTGGAGCTCTGGACATCTGGAAATAGTCTGGGGGACTCTCAGGCGAACTACTTCTGGCAGAGCACAGGCAAGGAGGCCACCTACCTTCCCTGGGCCACGGGAGAGCCCAAAAGGGCCAGCGGTGACTGCCTCAGTCTGACCGCCAACTACACCATGGAAGCGGGGGGGGAGGTGGTGCTGGGCGAGCACCGCCTGACCGTCAGGAACTGCACTCTCTGGGGTACCGTCATCTGTGAGACGCAGTTGACGCGGTACAGAACAGAGCTATGCCTCAATCCGAATGCTTTTTATGAGGCCCAAATACCCGTTTAGAGTAAAATATAGAAATTCGCTGGAAGGCGAGCTAAAAATATGTATAAATCGGTATTATTTTGGCTTATAGGGTTAAGTTCTTGGCAGAATCATGGTGACCCTGTCAAACCAACGTCGCGGCGTTGATATTCATGGCTGTCAAATGATAACTGCAAGGTAGCTCGGTTGAGTCTTTAAGTGCCCCCAACTTATACTTAATATTCTACGAACCTTATCGGACGAAGCACTTCATAGTCCCCTGCTTTTGTTTATTGAAGATATCGTTCCCATCGGATCAATCTATCTCGCCGAGAAATTGTCTTTTTCCGTGCCCCGAACAATACGAAAACGAGTAACTTGATCTTGAACTTTCCCTTGATAATAGATAGGTAATACTTGTTGATTGGAGGAATCTTGGGGCCACTGGAAGCCCCTGGAATTAATACTGTGAAGCATCGAAGTCAACCTCGAATCTTTTTGTTCACATAACTTCTTGCCCAATTCGTGGCTGGTTTCGTAACTATTTTCATATTTCGTCGGTTTCCCAATTGAAAGCGTTTTCCTCGGGAAAATGTAATTGAGAACTGTCATGCAATCAGATATGATTGCAAATGCAGACTGTACGGCTGTACTGGCGAGTAGATTTGTTGGCACTGTCTTGGGTTTCTGTTTCTGTTTCAGTTTCAGTTTCGGCGGGGGCCTCAGCTCTGAGTGCTTCAGTCAGGCCTGGCATTTAGTGGACAATTAGCAGCATTGCGTGTCCCGCCGTCCGTCAGGGGAAGTGGGAGGGTACGAGCACTCCTAAAACCCGAGACTCGTGAGTAAGTCTCGTCCTAATGGTCAGTCGCTGCAGGGTAACAGTTAGGGCCCGACTTCCTGGTTACAGTGGGACAGGGCCAGTGCCAGTGCCAGTGCCAGTCCCGTCCGCACTCAACTAGCCCATAGATGGATGGTTGTGTGTGTGTGTGTGTGTGTGTTTGGATCCCAGCCAGCAGCGTGACTCATAAAACTACGACGATCCGAGACGATCCGAGAAGATTGGAGAAGAGAGCGGGAACAAGACAAAAGAGAACATCGATTTGTGGCAGCGCCTGCGCAAAGCGTGAAATTTATGCGACCCACACGCAGCGCCACTCACGACCGCACCGCTAAAAACCTTCACTGCGATGGGGCAGACGCAGACACAGAAGCAGACGGAGACGGAGACGGATTCGAGGCAGACGGGGATGGGGAGCAGCTGGCGCAGTCGGAGCAGTCGGAGCAGCCGGCAAATTTCATTTCTCGCAATAAATCCATGACTGATTTATGTACTGCACAATCGTTACAAATCACAAACGTTTACGTTTGCTGAATGAACGTCCGTCGGTGTCTGGCCGCCGCAAACGTGTGCTTGTCTTTGTCTGCTGCTTCGTTGTGCATCTGCCTCCTGCCTCTCGAGAGGAGGGAGACGGCGATGCAACGTGAGTGGCTCCTCCACTCACGTGCTGCTGGCCTTCAGCTTCAATCAGCACAACATCACTCGCAGAGCAGTTGGAATTGCATTTGAATTAATTAAAGCTCAAGATGTGCTCCGTCGAAGACACGAATCCGCAGATCCGACTCCATTCAGATTTGTCAAATAAATGAGTCGAACTCTGCAGACGGATACGGATCTGAACCACCTCCACCACCGACTCCGACTCCTACTCCTACTCCTACAGTACTCCCTTCTGTCTGGTAGTTTTCAGACCCTTCATCGATCCCAGAACGATTCGCATAGTTCGCATATGGTAAGCCGAAACGCAAGCTGCAAACAACAAGTGACGTGAACAAAATCGATCACCTCCAGCGGGGCGAGTGCAATGGCAACTCTGGAATGGCAATGGAGCGGGAGATTTACATACTCGGCACTCGCGGAGTCAGGACAGGGGCAGAAGCAGATGCACATACAGATGCACATGCAGAGTGGATGGCCGGCCTATGGTTGCTCTTGGTGTCCACGGTTGACCACTTAAGTTGACGTCGTCGCGGCGCGACTTCCCGATGCGCTGCTTGATTCTCGGTGCCTGCCCAGAGGCGCATGCCTGGCAAGTGGACGCAAGATCGAGGCAGTCGAAAGCGGAGTGGTTCGGAGAAGGCGAATGGTAATGAAGGAGGGTGAATGCCAGGAGGGGCCGGAGGAGATTGGCACCAAGTTGGGACAAAAAGTATGACTAAATGCATGCAAGGTATTTAAATGAGACATTTTCAGACTCCATGGCCTGGCTGCGGCATGTGGACAGCTCTGGAGACAGCGATAGCTTTTGGCAGTCACAAATGGCCCAAGAGACAGAAAAGACACAGGCTGTGGACACTGATTGGTGAAGTTTGAAACTTTCCCAAATATTACTTAATATTTTGTAAAGAAATTCAGTCTCAGAGTATTTATGATGCGGCCTCGTTCTGCTGAACACTCTGCTTATCTGCAGAAATGCGAACTATTTATGTACATTTTGCTGTGGCGGCTGTCACTTTTGGGTGGCTGCATCCACAGTCATAGTCCGGTCGCAGCCATGAGTGGAAGGAGGAGAGAAGGGGAGACGGGGAGAAGCATGGGGGCAAATGTGTGGCCGCAGGCCGTGCTAATTGTGTCGCTAGTGTCAGATTTATGTGGCGCGATCAATCGGTAATATATGCCAGAGAGATCGAGACCCCAAGTCAGAGAGTCGGGTATCAAATTATAATTCAATTTACGAATAGACAAGCCATAGACCACCGGGGTGGCCGCTAAACACATTCCGAGGCGGTTGTCGGTCGTCGAGATTGGCTCGTAAATTGTCCAAATTAATTCATAGTGGCACCGATGGCGACACCTACTCGTTGTCACCGTTACACCTCGCCCATCTCATCCCCACCGCACCGCTGCTTACCTCTGCCGCAGCAGCGCGTCTTCATCAGCGGCGCAACCGGAATGGAAATGGGCAATCGGCATGGGAGAATGGTCGCTTGGTTCGTTAGTCATAAATTTATAGGCTTTATTGAAACATCAATTTGGACACCATAGCGGACGACACCGACACCAACACGGACACGGACACCGACACCCCAACCCCGGCCCCAACCGATGCGACGACCAGTTCAAAGTTACCCAATCCAATTGTGTGCCCCGGAAAGAGCTGCAAGACTCGCGACTCCACGCGTGTGGAGCTGAAGTTGGAGCCAGGGCTGGTGCTGGTGATGGTGCTGGAGTCGGACCGTCAAGGTGGTCCAATGATGCGACCAACAGCAGCGCCGCTCGGTTGGTTCCTTTTTGTTTGTGTCTTTTTGTGGCTCTTCCACCGCCTAGAACAGGTTTCTGCTCGCCCAAACAGAGTCCGTCTCTATTCTGTCTGATCATTCGCTTTGCGGATTCCGATTCGAACTCGGATCCAGCCAATCGCCCGCCGCCTGCCCTGTTAATTTTGAACAATTTTACAGCTAGTTATGCAAATGCTTAGCTTTTTTTGGAAAGTCTTGCTCCAGGTTCGGGGCAGGGCGGGCATTATTCCGCGATGATCTCATAGCGGCAGAGTAGAACCAGAAGAGGCGGGACCACAAAAAAACAACTGCGACTCGATGTCTAAATATAGCATTCTTTAATGTTGGATCTCTGGATATCTGATAATAATGATAATATCATTTACAGGTGCCGATCTATACAGATGTTCTTGGAAAAGTAAAATGGACAAAGGACTCTACATAGTATTGGACATCATCCGATATCAGGGACTATCTACCAAATTGAAGGTAGTGAAATATTCGGAAGATTCGTGAAAATCAAAAACTCCGAATCGTAGAGTATGACTATATCAAACAGATTGAGTACCGGATATAAAAGTTGAGCCATTTCAAAATGAGCAGCGGCAACGGCAGCAACGTTACGTTACGCACCGTAATTACTCTACATGATAACTACATGTTCACAGTGGCGCTTCTCAAAATGTTGTACACTTTGTTGCGCAGAATATATGTTGCGAATCTTGTAAATTCATACATGTTGTGAGACGTAACAGATGGATTTTACCTCTCTGTCAGCTGTCTCTGTTAATAATCTGTTGATAACAGTATTATTTTCCGCGGCTTAACTCGGCTTGTTCCCCTGTTTAAATCGATTTTTTAATAGTTTTTAATGGTAAGCTAGAGTGACCTGTATACCGGATTCGTGTAGATGTATCGTCTGCCCATACGCCGATCCGTTTCAATCTCCCGAGGAGGAGGAGGTGGCCAAGGCGCAGCAGGATCAGCGGCAACAGGTGGCACAGGGACAGGCCCAAGCTCAGGTTCAGGCTCTGCAACAACAGCAGCAGCAAGCATTAGCGCAGCAGAAACTGCAGGTGACGCGCAACCTCTTTATCACCTCCCACCAACAGCAGCACCTGCCCTGTCGACCAGAACGACACCTTCAGGAGAACATGTCAGTATCAGCCGACATCAGCATAATTTTGCCCACTTGCAGATCGACGTACACTTGGCCGCTTAACGGTGTGAATATGCACGCACCCACTGCTGGAGAAAATCATTGAAATGCAGGTAACATTTGACTAGAAAACATTCATTCATTCCGACTACCGCATCGGCAGAAGAACACCATTTTGGATGTTCTCCTGTTCGGGGGCAGAAATGCATAGGGATTATCAATGTGAAACTGTTTCAGGCTCACAATGATGGACTCCCGCTTCAGAAAGCTCCCTCAGCTCAGCTTTCAGCTGTAGTGTGCGCGAGGACATGTGCGCAGTCCTGTGTGGTGGCAGTGGGTGGCTCACTGTTGGCCCAAAAGGACATCTACTATAAACAGGCGAAACTCAACAGGTTTAAGCTCACTTGGCTCTGGGCGCTCCTCGAGTTCAATCGCGAAAATCCGAGACAATCACGCCTACCGAGAGTAGAATTGCGGGCTCTAGACCCACGGTACATTCCAAGCACTTTCCGCTAATAGATAATTGAATTTTTTGTCATTGTTGTGTGAGAAATTTAATGCGGGAATACGAGGCCGGGGACGAGGCCGTGCAATAAACATTAAAGGAACTTTTTATGTGCGTGCTGTGCGATTGATTGGAAATGCGCTGGGATATGCGATTCGTGTGAATAACAGAACGGGAAGGAGTCTGCAAATATGTACATACTTATATGTGCACACATGCATACTCAAATGAGTTTGGCACGAGTGACTGGCTGCAGCGCAGCCTGCGATATAGTGGGAAATATTCTTGATTATCCGATTAAGCCATATACCTATATTTACACCTATCATGACTTAATGACAATTTGTCAAGGCAATTAAAACTTTAATCAATAAATGTGCTCTTGTGAAGTGTGAAAAGTAAACTGAACTGTCGGAGATACAACAAAGAGGGAAGGATGAAGGATGTGTGTCCACATAGATACGATACACTCGAACTCACGGAGGGAGAGCGCAAGAATAGGATAGTCGGACAGAGGACAGTGCGACCATCGCGTAAAATGTTTACTCAGTCGCTACACTGAGCGAAAAGGGTCGACGATTGCCGCCAGCCAGGGCCTGGGGGGAGCAATCAAATGTGCTTTCAATTAAACTCAAAGTCCCAACCCCTTTTCACCAGCTCCCATCCCCGCACAGCGAGAGCTTCGTTGCCTGGTGGCTCATCCATCAAATTTGTTGTCCTGACGCTTGGACGCTTGTGTGTGGGCCAGTGCTGGAGCTGGGGCTGGGGCTGGGGCTGGGCCGGGGACGGGCAAGGGGAGAGGGGAAAGAGCGGGGGCGTGGTCCGGCTACCCATATGTGTTTATCTGCCATTCTTTGCAATCATTCTACGCGCCCTCCTCGTTACGGCCCCATTGAAACTCAACAAGTGTCGCGCAGTCAAACTATCAGATACAAATTGAACACACACCAATTATGAAAGGCTAACATTCACAGATACATTTGCAGTTCCAGCTCCAGCTCCATCTCCATCTCCAGCTCCATCTCGAGCTATCATCATTTGTGTTTATGAGGACGTCTGCATCTCATATATGTAGACCCTCGTGCCATACATGCTCGCCCGAACAATCAGCAATATGCTAAATGGAAAAGCGCACAAATTGAATACGGACAGCGCCATGCAGCCGGACGTGGAAAAGACGGACCCGCTCGCAGCAGGCGCCAGCGGCAGCAGCACCACCACCGCCCCCACCACCCGCGTTAAGATCGACATTAGTAGCTGCCCCTCGACTAATCCGACAACTGCTGGCGACCCGTCGGGGGGCGGAAGCTCCCACCTCCTGATGGTGCCCGTGCCCACACACCACAATCTGCAGCTAGATAAAATTTCCGTACGCTCGATTAGTTCCGAGGATATATCGAATGGCGGCCCCGGTAGATGCTGCAACGCCGCAGCTCGTAATCCGGCCATAAAAACGGGGCGACGGCTGCAGCTGATGCAGGTGAGTTCAAAGAGGGGCAGATGCCGATGCAGATTCAGGTGGCAGAGGGACACACACATGTGCGAGTATATATGTGTGCTCATATCTGGATCTGGAGCAGCATTAATTAGCGAATACGCATGCATCTTAATTAGCCGGAGTGGTCAGAGTCACGTGCCGCTGAGCGCCACAGACCAGACCCTCTAATGAAGTGTCGCGATTAGCTTGCCACGATAAACACAAATCACGATTCCTTACCCACTTTGCCTTTGCCCCAGTCAGCGATGCGACTGCGGATGGTGAGGCTTGGTCTGGACCAGCTTTGACGGCAAATGAAAATAGATGTAGTATCGACGGCACAGTGGGCCCCCGCATAAAGATCAAGAGCTAGCGTAACTAGAAAAATCCAATGAAACTTCAGAAAGCTCTTTCTTGATCCTTGCAATTATAGAATTGATTCGTGAACACTACATTTGATAGCTTTTATTATGTAAAAGATATGTTTACAGCTATAATTAAAACGTGGAATTTGTTAAGAGTCTTAGACCAGTCCGCACAGTTTTGACCCCCTCCCCTGGCTCCTTGTACTCGTACCACATGCAACACTGCGCTCTCATTGACATGCGAATCCTCTTGCAGATGATAATTCTGCCATTTATACCAATATTGGCATTGATTGTGCAAACTTCGGTGACACTACAAGAGATCCTGGAGTACCGAGCCGCCGTGGCTGACATCGAGACGCAGGTGAGTCCCAGCCGATGCAAAGAAGCAAACAAATCGAAGAGAAGGCAGCCGCCCTGGCCGCACTGAGCACAGGTCCTGCCTGAGTTCTCAAAGGCGTAATTAAAATTTATTGCTGAAATTCAATCATCCGCCAAGTACTATATGTTAGACTGGGGTGGAAAGAGGCGGTGCTCTGGTCTGGTCTCTGGTCTGTGTTCAATGGTCTTTTGGTGGTCACATCAGTGCGCACCAGAAGAAAGCATAGAATCCTCTGCAAATATTTGTTTGTTCAGGTAAGCGCCACGAGGACCCGGTCACAGAGCCCGAGCACTCAGCGTTCGTCCTCCACCCCTACGTGCTCTACACCCACTCCACCCCTTTGTCCACGCGTCCATCTATAATGCAAATGCGTCTTCCGTGGAAAATGTGAAGGAGAGAATGAAAAATTCTGTGTGTGAGGTCGGGCAGGCAGAGCCTGGGACCAAAGTGAATTGATAAGGACGCAATGCGAATATTCCACAGCAACAGTTGCATAGAGAGAGGGAGAGAGAGATAGAGAGAGAGAGAGCGAAAGAGAGGAGTACGGGTAGAGGTTGTGGCACAGGAGTAGGGCTTATGACAAGTGGCTGGGCATGGAGGGTGGGCCCCTTTGAATGGGGTCACGTAGTTAGAATGCAAAATAGACGATAAACAAATCAAGAGAGGGGTTGCTGGTGGAACTTTCCAATTCGAAGCTAAGAGCCAGTGATAGCGCTGGAGCGAAAAGTTCAATCGATGAATCGGTCCTGTCCTCTACCCTCGCAGGTGACCATTGCAACAGACCTGGGAAAGGTGGTCACGCGACTGCAGCTGGAGCGCTCCGAGGTGGCCTTCTACATCTTCACCAACGGCAGCAAGCAGCGGTGAGTGCCCAGCCAACTAAACGCCATTCTGTTCCTGTTCCTGTTCTGAGAGTCCATTCTGGTTCAGGGCCAATCTGACGCAGCGTTTCGCCATCACGGACCATGCTCTGAACAACCTGACCACCTGGAGTGAGATCAGCGTTCCAACGGCGCCAGACGAGGATGAGGACGATCGCGAGATGATGTTGAACAGAAATGACTTCCAGAGTCGGTTGAATGAGTTCCGCGACCGTGTGCGCTTCGAGCCCGAGGAAAGCTCCATCACGGAGGTCATGAACTGGTACACATCCATAAACCGCGGACTGCTGCACCACCTAAACGAACAGATCAAGGAGACGGACAACAGTGGAGTGTGGCGGTGAGTCCTCATTAAAGGCCCTCGTCTATCCTAATACCAACTCTGAGTATCCGATCTCCGATTCTGACTCCCTTGCAGGTATCTCGTCGGATTCAAGAACCTGCTGAAGAGCATCGAGTGCCAGAACATCGCGACCTCTTTCGGCATACGCTACTACGGACGGGGCTCGCTGACAGCCGAGAATTTTGTCTCCTACGTGCGCTACGAGTTCATGGCCCGCGAAATGATCAACTCCACGCTGAACTACGCGCCCATGTTGAAGAGCATGTACACCAACATAACCAGCACCAAGAAGTTCCATCGCGCCAAGAAAATGTTCGTATCAGCGAGTCTCACCTGACCGTTTAACCTGATCCAAGCTCTCTTCTGCAGGAGCAACACTCTTCTGAAGAACAATCCAAATGTTTCGAACGAACGCAGCGCCATCGAGTACTACGAGCTGATGAATAACTACACGGACGATCTGAGAATACTGCAGAAGGCTCTCCGACGTCAGATCAAGTGAGCGATTCCACCAATCGCCAAAACATTCCATTCCCTTGATGACTTTTGGTTTTCTTTGCTTTCTTTTCTACATATTCAGGGAGTATGTAGACAAGACCCTGGTGGAGGCTGACCGAAAGGAGGCCATCGGAATCGCCATCCTCGTCGTCGTCCTGCTTGTGTCACCCGTCATCATCATTTTGGTGCGGAATGCAGCTGCCACCATACAGGTGAGGTGTATCTGAACATGACCAAACAGAGGCCCCTGACCCTGACTGACTTTAATTGTCACTTGCAGCACTACGCCCTGAATCTGTCCCAGAAGGCAAAGGAGCTGAAGCGGGAGAAGCGCAAGAGTGACTCACTGCTCTTCCAGATGCTGCCCCCTAGCGTGGCCATGCAGCTGAAGCAGACGCAACAGGTGGGTAGAAGCTGGCATCCACCCCCTTGAGCAGACCTAATCAAATACTTGGCAGGTTCCCGCCGAGCTCTACGAGGCTGTTACCATTTACTTCAGCGACATTGTGGGCTTCACCGAAATCGCCGCGGAATGCACCCCGCTGGAGGTGACTACCGAGCACGGCGGCACCTAAAAGGTCCATTTAAAGATTTACTATCGTTCGCAGGTAGTGACCTTTCTCAACTCGATCTACCGCGTGTTTGACGAACGCATCGAATGCTACGACGTCTATAAAGTGGAGACCATCGGCGACTCCTACATGGTGGCATCCGGTCTGCCCGTGAAGAACGGTAATTTATGCAAATGTCGCTGTCAGTCAGCCAGCCGTTGACAAGCACCGACCCTTGCTCCCAACTCCCTACCCCGATAAGGATTTGCGCTAATTTAACTTTTATTTGTGCCCATGCGCCATAATTTATGCCATGGAATTTTTTACTCTTCTCACATCCCAACCGCCCAACCCCCGTATCAGGGAACAAGCACATCACCGAAATAGCAACAATGGCGCTTGATTTAATGGACGCATCGTCAGTGTTTCGGATCCCCAGGGCCGGCGACGAGTTCGTTCAGATACGGTGCGGCATGCATACGGGACCAGTGGTGGCCGGCATAGTGGGCACAAAGATGCCTCGCTACTGCCTCTTTGGGGATACGGTGAACACGGCTTCGCGCATGGAGAGCACCGGCGAGGCCCATAAAATACATATCACAGAGGAGATGCATGACTCGCTACAGCAGGTGGGTGGGTTTAAGACAGAGCATCGCGGCCTCATCGATGTGAAGGTGGGTTTCTCCTACTCTGCTGAAGAGAATTGAGTTCCCATGTGGCTTCATTCTATTTCAGGGCAAGGGGCTGATGAGCACCTACTGGCTGACGTGCAAGGATGGGCCTGTACGGGTGCGTGAGGAGATCTCTTGGCGGGCGGACATGCAACCGGTATTCCTGGATCATCTCAAACTGCATCCCCCAATCGACTACAAGCTGCCCAAGCGAAAATAAGCCGCAAGTGGTACATACAAGTGTACGTGGCGTATGTCTAGCCTAGGCCAAATTACTGTTATCTATTCACGTATCCGTGTGCAGGAGTGCGTGTATGTAGTTGCTGCTTTCTCCGTTTCTGTTGCTGTTGCTGTCGCTCTCTGTCTCAGTGTGTATGTGCCATGTCCTAGAATCTATCTGTGTGTTCCACTTTTCTTCTGTTTTGACGCTTTGACGCCCATGCGTCTCCATATAATCTGCAATGTGAACAACGAGAATGAAAAGATAAAATACATACAATTTATAAACCAAACATCTTTCCAACTGATTGGCGGCGGCCGCGTCTAACTTATCGAGCTTAACTTAAAGAGACATGGAATATACTGATATCTACAGAGACCAAGCACTGGTACACGGATCAGGATATATATACAAGAAACTAATCAAATGCATGAATAGGCCAAACAAATGCAATCTAAGACAAGGTCTTTATTAATTACGTTTGAAAGCAGCTTTACATAATATTATCGAAATAGGGTATACAAATGCCCATACACTGGTTGACAAGAAATGAATCTGCAAATACCAACAACATTGACGTCACAGGACTGAGCCTGTTTTTGTTGTTGAACATTTTTGTGGAAACCGGGTTTTTGTCAAAATACAATACATGCAAGTACTTAAAAGTATTTAATCTTGAACAAAATTGATTCAGCAATCATATAAAATTACGTGGCAAAGATGGAAGATGTATATAGCTAGTAATATTCGACGGAAGGTCAAAAACCAGGAATTCGTCGTAATAACCGGTTGACAACAGTGATCCCCGGCAACACTAATTTGTATACCCTAGGGAAAAGGATATTATAGAATTGAGAAAATGTTTGTCATCCCAAGGCTCCGTAGGTATCACGATCGAGACATACATATCTTCATAACAATTAACAAAATAGGGTATACAAAGGCTTATACACGCATCATGTCTTCAAACACAAGCAACATTGCGACTGTGTTTTTGTTGAAACTATTTTGTTTAAACCTTGTTTTAGTCAAAATACAATAAAAGCAAGTATTTAGACTATATCAGTCAATTAGAAAATAGGTTCGTTAAAAAGATAAAATTATGTGGGCATGGCTAAATGTTCTATATAGCAAGTAATATTTGACGGAATATCAAATATCACGGAATATTGGTGGAACTTGAATAATTCGTCAGTATATTTACGGTATATTTTTTAAATAAGACGGTATACTTCTGAGGGTCAGACCGTATATTTTATCGCACTAGACAAAATTGAAGTTACCTGCTCTTGCAGCTGTTGACTCAGCCAAACTTTTTGAGACAAAAAGGTAAAGAAAGTACACAAAGCTGTCATGGCCAAGATAATTTCCCAAGACACCTTCGATGGTGTGGTCCAGGAGAATGTGCTGGAGTTCTCCATGAGCCCGGCCGAGGCAAAAGAGGAGACAATCAAACAGTTCGAGGCACAGGTGCGTAGGATGGGATATTACTAGAGACAGCGTGACCCGAAAAGACTATTTTCAGGGAATAAATCTGGCCAACATTATTAAAGATTTGGCTGTCAATCCGCAATCCGGCAAACCCTTAATCAACGAGATGGTGGACAAAATTAAAACGCATATAGGCCAGAAGGAGGCGGACACTCCCCAGCTGCTGGATCAACTGGCAATCTTGGACGAGGAGTGCCAGAAGTCGCTGGCGCACCGGGTACTTGCGGGAAAGAATGGAGCTCACGATGCATTGATCACTTTGCTAGAACAGACCCTGGCCGCGGCAGAGACGGAGCCAGAGAGAGACCAACATGATGCTGTGCTGAAAAAATGCCTGCAGGCCGTCAACAGTTTGACAAACAAGCAACCGGACTTGTTCGATGCGGAGGCAATGGCTGTGGTCCTGAAGCTGCTGGCACTCAAGCAGGAGAATCGACTGGAGATTACCATCCTGACGTTGCAGTGGTTGCAGAAAGCCTGCATCATGCATGAAGTTAACCGCCAGAACATAATGAACACACCTGCTCTGAAGCTGCTGAAGCCGCTGCTGACCAAGGACAATGCTCGCCTGATGAGCGAGCTGACTGCCGTGTTCCGCTTCCTTGTGCTAGACGACGACATACGCATGGAGTTTGGCTGCGCCCACGAGCACGCCCGGCAAATAGCCAACGAGTTTCTCCTGCCACTTGTGGAGCTGCTGCCGGCATACCAGGAAGTGGATGTGCTGGGTGACTTACTGCTCACCATTGGCACACTGGCAGTGCGCCAGGAACTGTGCACTGCTATCGATGAGGCGGGCGGCCTGAAGACTATCTTTGAGATCATGAGCAATAACCTAGAAGAGGTGCGTTTGAACCGCGAAGCCTTGAAGCTATTGCGAGCCATGGCCGGTCACGACGCAGTTAAGGCTCACATTGTGAATCAGGGGGTGGCGCCCATCATCAAACAGCTCCTAGAGACACACCAGTCAAACGAGAATATTGTAGCCGCTGCCTTGGCCTGCATTACAACGCTGACGTTGCGCGTCAAGGAGCACAGTACGGCCTTCTTCGAAACAGGAATCGCCGAGGTACTTGTAGAGGCTATGCGTACTCATTCCAGCAACAAGATTGTCCAGCGAAACGGGGCCTGGGCCATACGAAACATGGTATCGCGTTCGCGCAGCCAATGCGAGACTTGGATCTCGTTTGGTGTCGAGGATCTACTCAACACGGCAATGACAGAGCACCCAAGCGTGGCGCAGGACATTAAGGCCGCTCTGCGGGATCTAGGCTGCACTGTCCAGCTGCGCGAGGAATGGACTGGCACAGCTGAGAAGAAGATTGCTGCCTAGCACAAGCACTCATTAATAACAGCGACAATTGATTATGTATTTTGTATTTTTATAACCTAGGTATAACTTCATTATTCTGCATGCCAGCACGAGCTACACACTCACTCCTACTACTGATAAATCGTGCATTTGCTAACCTAAAATATCATCCTCAATAGCTATCGCAATCTATTCACAACTGAGGCAGTCTTGGTTAATTTATTTCCCTAATAATCAGACTATCCGCGGCGCCTATTTGCCGATCTTAAAATTGCGCAGCGTTCCGGCCTTCAGGCGCTGGTTGACATTCCTGGCCAAAGGTGCCTGCACGCCATTAGCTTGACTCTCCTCCTCGGCGCGCTGCGCAAAGGGATCTATCTTTTCGGAACCGCCCATTCCATTGTACACAAAGTTTGAGCCCATGGTTGCCGCCACCCCAGAACTGCCTGAGCCCAACAGCAGACGCGGTTTCTTGAATATCGAGTACTGCAAGAGACGCATAGGATTATTATTATCATTTTCGATTTGCTGGGCCATCTGCTATCCATCGTTAATTTACCTTTGAACTAAGATCACTGCTAGTTTTGCGCACGGTGCCGCTGGCCATACTCACACCGGAGGCACCACTCATTATAGGAGATATGCTGCTGAGTCCTGTGCTGCACTTGGTATTCAGAAGGTGACTCAGCCCCACGCTGCTGGACTTGATGTTGAGGTATGGGGAATTCGACTCTTCAATGCGCTTGATGTTTTCCTTCTGCAATTGGTTCCGATGCGTGACAGCGATCTTTCAAGTCTTTGTATCCGAGTACTTACAATTGTGGGCGAAATGGTGATACGCTTCTCATCACGCTTCAGCGCCATAATGTTGCTGTTCAGACCGGTCGAGCTGTTGGGCGAATCCACATTGATCGGTTGATCCCGTTCCAAAGCAAGAAGCTGAAAGAGATTCGCGTGAATCAAGGGCAACTATAGAGAACTTAGCTACCTTCTCCTGGTTCTGGTAAAGATCGCTCTCCAGATGCGAAATCCGCTCTTCCATCGTACTGCAACACAGAGAAGCCAGATTAGATCAACCAACTCCCTCAGGCATGCATGCTCACCGCTTCAGGTCGATTTCCTTGCGCAAATCATTCTGCACCAGCTTAATTATGTTTCGAAGCTCCGTCTTCTTGTTCTCGCACTGCCGCAGCTCCCGCTTTAGTGTGGATACCCAGCTTGCCAGGACATAGGGATTGGCCTCATTCTTGAGCAGAAGCTCGGCATCCGCAGAGCTAGCAGCCAGAATGGCCGAAACACCTTCCATTGATTGGACTTGGAGTTTAAGAGACTTGTTCTCCCTGCGCAAGCCATCCAGCAGTTGGGCTTCGCTCTTAAGGAGGCTAATCTGTTCCACGTAGCTGCTAACCAGGAACTCCTTCTTCTGCACCTTCTGTTCGAGACCAGCGATGGTCTTGCTGTAAAAAGAGGGCAAGACTGCAAGATTGTGGTCTTTCCTTTGTCACTTGCAAAACGTTACTCACAGGCACTTCTTTTGCGTATCCTTCAGCTCCTTTAGTTGCTGCTCCACCTTTTTGAACTCCTTCTCCTTCATTTTCACGGCTAGATTTGCGTTGTCCAGCTGCTCCTGCAGTGAGCCAACATCGATCCGACTAACGTCCAGGTTAGCCAGGTTGAAGTAGACGCGCCAAATGTGCCGGGTGGTGCATTTGTTGCGGCACTGGGGGCATGTCTTGGAGCTGCAAATGGAACCTCTTAAGTTGCATTAACAACGCACAAGTCCCGACGGCTTTACCGATCCAGCCATTGGTTGAGGCAGTTGTGATGGAACAAGTGGCCACAGATGGTGACGTACACCTCATCAGATTGTGCGAAGAGTTCGGCGCAAATAACGCAATTCAAATTCAACATTATTTAACTCGATGCACTACATAAAACAGTTATTACGGTAACAAAAATTCACACACGCCGTCCAGTTTGGCGCGTATCAAAACAGCTGGGCCACAAATAATATATATCGATTGTACTTCGCAGTTTCGATAGTAACATACTATTCTTTAAAAAAATCATCTTTAAGATGATTTATACTAGATTTATACTAGACAGTGATTATCTACAGCAGTAATTTAGCACCATGCTTTTTGAGCGTCTTCAATGTGTTTTAGAACATTTCAGACGGAACAATCGGTAGTATCGATATAAATAGTAGGGGTATCATTAAAAGAAATGTATATTATTTAAGGTAAAGATCAAAGGGTTATTCGTATGGAAACGAAAAAAAATGCAGTAAGTATAAAGTATTTATCTGTTGGAAAGTTTTCCGTATACGAAGTGGTATTAAACTTAAGTTGTGGAAAACTCCGCCAAATAATGTACAAATAAATCATACATCGACACACCGATAACATTTCATACCATCGCACTATCGAGTGTTTTGCAGCTGAAAAACGCGTTCAATATTAGCATAATATATATAATGTAATTATATATATTTAATTATACTATTTTATTTCGTATTATTCATAATCATCCGTCGGTCCGGTCAGCTATATTTAAAAATTGCTGAAGCCAGAGGAAAGGTGGAAGTTTTGCATGCGCACTAGACACCTTGTCAACGCTAATTCGTTTTTGTTGGACCCACACCAACGAAGCAGTCAGTGGCGAAGGAACGAAGAAAGCAGAAGAAATCCAGACAGGACCAGAGAAGAAGGAAGAAAACGCCAAATTAACAGCAGTGCGGACAACGAGAAGAAATCCATCGCATCGCCTCGTCGATTACAATGGCTAATATGATTAGCAACAGCCAAAACTCCAGCGCCAACAACAGCAGCTGCAACCAGAGCAATAGCGCCAACTACACTTACAAAAACCACAATAGTGTGAGTGTGGACAGCGGAAACAGCAGTGGCGAGGCGCGACTTCGCGATGTCTGCAACATGCTCAACCCCGGGCCCAGCAGCCACTACATGATACCAACAGGTGGCTGCTCGTACGATCACATCATTGCGCTGATGCGGGACCTCGACCTGCAGGACGACGGAATTGTCCTGAACGCCAAAATCAAGACCATCGAAACGGACTTCTGCAACATTGTGCACGACGAATCGATGCTGTGGTATGTGTCTTATTTGCCTAGTCTGCTTGTGTGTGTGAATTGGTGTCCCATTGATGATTAATAATATTATAAGTAGTATGTATGGTTTTGTTGTTGTTGGTGCTTTTTTTTCCCGCATATACGTAAATGTACATATGTATGTATGCTTGTATCACATGTATATACAGTGAGTCGCAAAAGAATACGGCTAGTGTAAGACAAGCGACCAGAAAAGCTGTTAGGATGGAGATGATTGCATGCATGAGTGTAGGTCATACGTGAGCCGCCAAAGCTTATCACAAAATTCGTATTTTTGTATGCCCCAAGATTCCGCTATTTGGGGAGGCACTTGATTCAGTGTGGTTTCACAGGAGTCGGCGCCCAGAATGAGGTTACACCAGCTCTACTAGACGGCCGTACAGACAGACAGTCAGGCTGACATGGCTATATCGACTCGGTTGTTGATGCCCACCAATAATAATATTATATACGTTATGAAGTCGGAAACGTTCCTTCTTGCTCTTAATAGATCCCTATTTGAAACACACATATTTTTATATCTGTTGTGATCGAAAATAGGATCAATATTAGAATACCATACACTTCTGAGATGCACTGTATATACTACTGATATGTGAGCGCGCGAGTCGTTGTTTGTTTGCAGCGTGTCTTAAAAATTTACAACTTTTCATATAATTAATCGATGTGCGAGAAGCCTCTTACCATTGAAATAGTTCAAATTGAACATTTTCTCCGCTGTTTGCTTATCAAATAATGTTGTCTTTCACGAGAAACTAAAGTTATGATACATATATATATATATATATACATATGTATATGTATTATAAGCATATGTTCATGATTTTGCATTTGTATTACTCATACACAGCGAATCCATGGAGTACATGAACAGCAAGGCACTCGCGGATGGCGATACAGCGCTGAAGTTTGCTTTGCTATTCTCGTCGCGGACCTTCGATGCCCTGGCCATGAATTCGACCAAGGTGCGCAGCTCCATGCTCAAGATCCTAGAGACAAACTTCATTAATGCGGATGCGTATCGGCTACGCGACAAGAATCGTCTGTACAACTCGATCACGCTGCTGGGCGAGTACTACCATCGGGTCCGGCTGGCGGACAACGCTCCCATTACCATACTGGGCGAGTCGCTGCTGAATCTGCTGACGCGCGAGCTGAACGACACCTCGGTGGTGATCAATACACGCCTGGCCCGTCTCGTTCTCTCACAGATCACGCTCAACGGGGAGATGATGCGCAAGCGCCACACGGCGGATATCAACCAGCTGCTGTTCCACATCAGACGACACCTGATCATGCAGCCCGCGCTGACGGCCAAGGTTAAGGCCATGCTCCTCATGGTCCTGGACCTGTTCTATAGTCACTTCAAGAACGTGGGACACGACCTGGAGGCCATGTATACCAACTATTTGGTTGTGGAGGAGGGCGAAGAAGATGGCGCCAATAACAATGGCTCCAGTGCACAAAATTCCGCTGAAGAGAACGGCTCCAGTGCCAATACCTCCGTCCAGGACCAGGAAACGTACGAGGGTAAAGCCACGACTAAAAAATGGAGCGAGCAGGTCTGCGAGGACTCCTTCTGCGACATTGGCTACGGCGAGGCAGATCCGGGTGAACAAAAGTATCAAGAAAATGTAACAAATTCCTATCCTTCCAACACCGCCTCTGAGCCTGGCCCACGCCATGTACGCCGAGGCTATCAGCCGCGACAAGCACCAAGACCACTGAAGCTGCAGCAGCATCATCAGCAACCTTCAGCTAACGTAGAGTACGTATATCGCACTGGAATCGCTTCCACTGTAATGCAATCATCTGTTTCGATTCCTCCGACAGCCCCCAGTCCGACCAATATCCCTCCATGGCCAGCAGCGAAGACCGTGACGAGAGCAAGCCCCTGCCCAGCTGGCGAAAGACACGCTTCAATCGCAACCACGAGGGCAACCAGAGTAACGGTCGCTCGCGCGACCAACAGAGGCGCTACAGCGTAAGCTGCGACGACGACCAGCACAGCGTGCGCAGCGAAAGCGGAGGAAACTTACGCCTCTATACCATTCAAGACCGCAGGAAGCACTCTCAGGAGAGGCACGAGCGCAACATGAGCGGCGGTGCCAACTACAACAGCATTGTGAACTCCAACTGGGACCAACGCGACCGAGACGATCGCAGTGAGCGCTCCTACATGAGCAACTACGAGCGTGGCAATAACTACAAGCGGGGCGGACGCTTCAATAATCGCAACACCTACGACAAACCGCCGCGTTTCCAAAAGCAGCAACAACAGCTCCAGCAGCATCCAGGCGGTCACCAGAAGATACACAGCGATACTTGGCGCCGCTCGAACACGGCCATTAACAGCTCCTATCAGGATGAGAACTGTGCGTTCAACTCCAACGGTCCGGAGTCAAACAGTCGCAGCTCGTCCAGGGCCCGCACCCTGCCCCGACCAGCCAAGTCACAAATGGACAAACCCAATACGTATCGTTACAACCAGAGTCCTACTCGTGGAGGAGGAGCTGGGGGACCACGTAGCTTCCCCCGCTACAGCAGTCAGAGTAGTTTGGCCAGCGAGGCGTCCAGCACATTCGATCGACGCCAGCAAAATTCGCCGCATAATCCGCAGCACCAGCACCAACGCCATCGCAACTTCACACGCCGCTCACAGCCGGACATCCATCAGCCGCAGAACGAGGAAAACTGGGACCGCCGTGGGCAGGAACAGCCGCCGCCGGCACCCTCAGGCAAGGAGGAAAACGAGCTGGTGCGCAATGCACAACAAACCACCAAGTACATGAACTATCTGTCCGCGCAGAAATGAGACAGGCCGCCGGGATGGCGATCAACCCGGCGTCGGCGTCGGCGTCAAAAGCTGAAGGAAAAGCTGGCGAGCATGGAGGGATTATCATAAGTAAAATACATTTTATAAACTAATTATTTTAGTTTGTAAGTCTAAAGCAGGTTTTTGTCCACCACTTCCAAAACTACTTCGAAAGCTATTAACCCTATTTAGAATATTTTCAATTGTTCATTGAATTTGCTGTTATGTTTTCCAAATTAACTTGTGCAACTAGCTACGAGTAGACTGTTTTGTTTCCCGTCTAAACCTGAGCTCAAATGTCAAATTGTACCATACCCCCAATCCCTAGCCACCCTATTTTCGTCTCCAATCTGATCCGATCACAAGCAATTCTCAAATCCAAACAAAGGCTCAAGCAACACAAAACAACACACACGCATGCATGCATCATTACATTACACATCGGATCCAATCAACTTGTAAATATCAATATAGTATATACGAATGTCTTATCTATGACTATAGTCACACACCATACACACGCACACCCACACCCACAAACAGTCACACTCATTTTTAAATATATAAATATACAATTTGTTTAGAAACTAAGTACAAAAAGTCAAGGAATCAAGATAAATCCTATTTCTATTGAAAGCGAAGCCCTGTTGGATAAATGTTACACACACGTTGAGCATATAAAATCGTATTTTAGCTAAATATATACTTATACATATATATACTAAATGTCATGTTACTGTGCAGATTCAGCAAATTTATTAAACAAAATATACACATCATGCATACAACTAAAGCTATTTTTAAAGAACATTTTGTAAGGCCCTTTGTTGAAACAACAATGTCAGCCAGAAAGTAGAGGATAGTGAGGAATACGAATATGATTGTATAGTAACAACGTAGTCATATCTATAGCTAAAACCATGTTCGGGGATAACACAAAACAGTTCTCAGCATGCGTATATGACACAAACACTAATCGGAATACACATACATACGCTATGTTTAACAAATTTGAATATAATAAACTATTACATAAAGATGCAGTACGAATCGGGGTAGCAGGTTATCCAGCAACTGTATTTGATTTTTATTTGGGTTGTCTATCCATGCACAGTCAACACTGATTCACTTTACATATACGACACTGTACGAGAGGTTATCGATACATCTCACGATGGCGATGGAGATTCCACTTCTACGCGAGGTGTAACCACCAAGACTTCATAGCTAGATGTGTTCACCTCCTGACCGCGGTGCGGAATGTACATGACCTTGTGGGAGGGATGCACTTTTCCCAGTCTCTTGATACCTTCGTAAACGCCGAGACCGGTGTACGTCACCTCGCCAATCTCGGAATAACCTGTCGGTAGTGCGTTTGGGGGGTAACTGCCACTGGAACCAGGTACCCACTCGTGATCGCAGTCGGTCAACACCAGGACCTCCACCCCTTCGATAAGCCTATAGGAGCGGCAGCTCCAAGAGCCAAACGCTGCCTTCTTCTGGGGCGCATAGCTCGCTGGCAGCAGATCGTCGTTGAAGTAGCCACGGGCTACATATGTGGGCAGACCATCCTCATCTGTGCCACACTGAATGGCACCTTCCGGTGCGTTGGATGCGTCCCGGGAACTGTTAATGTCGAGGTCCATAGGCACCCATTGAACAGGCTGCTTTGGTGGCTCTTGGTCATCGAGCTCCGTGCGCTCTGCGAAATTTAGATAAATTCGATGAATGCGGTTCCGATGGCAAGTGGCCCGACACTGGGGACACGTCGGGGATCGTCCGAGCCAGCGCGTCAGGCACTCCCTGTGAAATACATGGCCGCAACTGGCAGTGGAAAAAATAATGTCGTTTGCCCGGTAGAATTCGTTACAGATGCCACACAGAACGTTCAGAGACGGAGAAGATTCATTCGGAGCTGTTTCGCCCTCCATGTCTCACAGAACAGTAACAAGTAACAGTCGGATCGGATCGGAAAGAGGGGTTCCTTAAATTTCACAATATTATGATACTTTAATTATTGCTGATGAGAGCTTAGGGAAGCACCATACCGGTACGATGAAATCATGGCATGCAATACTATCGTCACTATACCATCAATGTATACTGTATGCTGATGAGCTTTCGTGCGGTGGAAAACAGCTGAAGGAAGAGAGAAGAAGAAATAAGCTGATTCAATGGGCGCTAGATTCAAACCTGTTTCAAAATTCTTTACAACACAGCATCTTTTTGATTGATATAACGGTAAATTTTCAAAACTACAGGAACAAAATACAATCGGTCGATGTAATCCGATCTTTAGGAGGAATATATAAATCAACCTTATTTTTTGTACATACTTTTCTAAGATATACTGTATACAAAAGAAACGATTCACACGATTCAGTGACATCTATAAGTAGGCGGTCTGATTGAGAAAAGAACAGGGCTTTTAGAGCTTTCTAGCTTTCAGAGAAATACAGAACCAGAGCCGTAATTTATTGTAGGCACTATCACAATCCACTTGAGAGTTATACAACCCAAATCAAAAGGAGTATTTTCTGCCGCGTTTTCCTAATTTAATTTAATTCCCCGGAATATTCTGTACTTTTAAAACTTGTGCTGGCAGCTGGCTTATGAAACTAGCCTACGGATAAGACGTCCTAAAGAATGTTCTTTCGGTATAGAATAAACAGTTAATGCCACTTAACATTCAAGACACTAAAACATATTTATTTAAATTTGGTATAACGTAAAGCACAAGTTAACTAGTTCTTATACATGTCACAGAGCACCTTTTCCATTGGCGTATTGCCGATTGTGCGCTGAAAGTAGATAGATTCAATCTTGTGGGAGCTAATCATGCGCAGAAGAGGCAGCATCAGGAGGAGTCTTCCGAACCGTGCAATTTGAGCTGTGAACTGCGTTTTGGTGTGCTGCGACAACATAACCTGTTTAAAGTAGAGATACATATTTAGATAGTCCGAATTTAGATACCAAACGGCTCTGGCTGGTCTCTTACATGGGCCTGATCCTGAAGATTCTCTATTTGTGCTGGGTCCTTAAGGCCACGGGTCTCGGGTCGGAATAGCACAATTGCCTTCAGGCAAGCGAATTCAGCTGGATCCACCAGTACAGCTTTGTATTTGCAGAAGATTTCGTGTAGAGTTCGAACATCGGCTGCCAGCTGACCAACGACAATATCGTTACGAACTACCAACACTCGTAGGCCAATTGTGCTCAAACTTACCTCCTCTTTTGTTGTGCAAGTATCACCGTTTGCGTTGTTCTCCAAGTTATTGCAATGCTCGGCCACAGAGAAGAGCGCGCACCCAGTGGGGTCCAAGGGGATGCACCACTGAATGGCGTTCAAGAGGAACAGCTCTGACCAGGACTCCTCCAGCAGGATGACCTGAAAGAGCAATCAAAGTTGCAACTTACTTACTTACATTGCTATGGGCTACGCTACCTGATCCCGGAACGAGAGACGGGCAAAGCTTGGAAGGTTCTTGGCCCACTTCACGGCCATGAAAAGAAGTCTAGCACTCGTTTCGTAGACCGTTTCATGCTGGTGAGCATATAGGTTAGGCGACATGAACTGGGGCATGATGAAATTGGAGTCGGATCTGCTGCCTGTGTGCGGCTCCTCATCGTTGGTCACATCAATAGAATCGTCTGAAAGACCAAACAAAATTGATGGTATATGGGCTGGAACTCGTAAAAAATGTGTATGGGGGCTTTCTACCCACCATCATTGTCGTTCTCTAGTGTGGGACTGGAAGAGCTGACGGAGGAGACGCTGCCACCGGCGTTGTTCTTTTCGTTGGTTGCTTCCGGCGCTGGGGAACTGGGATCAATCGAATGATTACTGCTCGAGTTGGTCGAATGGGAGACATTGCCGCGGCTGGTCAGCTCCATGGCCATTCCATACACAGCCTTCTCCTTCGGCGAGTGGTGCACTCCGGCGGCATTGAACATGGGAAAACTGGCGCTGCTCATGTGATTCGCCGCCAGCTGCATGGAGGAGGTGAGGTGGTTGTGGTGCAGTAAACGTCCTGGGGGCAGGCTGCCTAGCGCTGTTCAAGTTGTAAGAGAATCAAATGAGTTTTTACTGAGAACTAAGAATCGAATGGAAAGGCGACTACTCACAGGGCGGTGGCAGCAGTCCGGAACCGTAGCAGGGAGGCGATAGTAGCACGGGTGGTCTGCAAATTGGAGTTACCCAGAGATTTGGGCGGTTAGACAGTGAGTTATGCAAATGACAGCACAGCCACAAATACACACAAACACACACGTTGAGACTTACCCAAAAACACCGACGGCAACGGCCGCCTCGCGCAAAGCCCGGCCGTGTTCCATCTCCCTCAGCGTCTCCGGGCGTATAGTGGCCGTGTTTCGTGGCTGTCGCTCATTTTGCACCGCTGTAATTGGAAAACAAATGCAACTAACATGAGTACTCCAGATCTAAATCGTCCTCGAATATCTCGCAGGTCGCCACGCAGCAGGAAGGCAAAACACGCCCAATCGAGGTGTGCGGACGCTTCGGACGACAAGACGTGTCCATAATGAGGAAATGTCACACTGATAAAATTGCTTCATGCCTCACAGGTACGGCCCACATCAGCTCTTGCTGAGCCGTGTTTTCCCGCCGCTTCTCATCAGCATATACACACAGCTTCGCCAGAGCAGCGGCCGCCCCGTCAGGCCTCAGCCATTCATAGTAAATTGGTTTTGTGGTCACGTGCCGCTCACGCCTACAAATTGTTTTCCCATTTGTTGATGCAATTTTACCGCACAATGAGGCTGCCACAGAGCTACTACTTCGCTAATAATGGCGGATCGGCAGGGGCTACGAGTATTTTGCATATCCCACGCATAATTTATGGCTACATTACGAAAGGAGCAACAATAGAGTTTGAATAGTGGGGTGCCAAATAAGATGTTTGAAATAATGAAGTCCGATTGAGTCAATCTCAAAGAAGAAGCCGCGGAACTCGAAGATACGAGAACACAGATAACGCAGAATCATAGAGCACAACCAATATATACTATACCTTATCATGTGCTACTCAGTCTCTCTCTCGCTCTCTCTCTCACACACACTCTTCATCGTGCAGTGTGCGCGATGCTGCTGGTACTGCCGTAGCATTAACGAACACATCATTTCTCCCTTTTTGACAGAGAGATAAATACATATATACGAATTACGAGAATTTCGTATAAATAGATTGTATAAGTGACATCAATTACTTTTTTAACTGACTGAGTGCAAGGTATAAAAGTAGAGTCGCTGCCCTTGCCTGCTTATGACTGCAGCAGAAACCAGATATATATTGGTTATACCTTATGGAACTATGTAGAGGGGAACCCAACCGACTTTAGTTTGGTTATCGAAGTTTGGAAAATATAATTTTTAAAGATATCGAGCTGTGTACAAAGAGTTATGTTACTGCAGTATACGATTCTACCCTATTGAGAGAAATGTTATTGAATTTCTGGCGAACCTCCGACTTGGGTGGTTACGAGGAGCGCGTTGTAAAAGACAGCAGACCCTGCACCCGTGTCTGCCTCGCAACAAAGCGACAAAACTTTCATTCGACATAATCAATGAGGGTTCACTCAAGTGGCAGCTCTAAAGCTGCGCAAAATCTGTCAAAGACAACAAGCAGCAGGTAACAAATCAATTGGGTGAGCAATATGTAAATAAGGCCCACCCGCACTGGAGGGGACGGGGACCCGCGGGGACCCATGGGTACCCACCCCAAGGAAGCGTGCTCCGAAGTTGCTCTTCCCGCTGGCAGAGCGTGTGAAAGGGGTATGGAAGTGGAAGACCAGAAGACCAGAGATGTGTATATTTACTTAGAGTGGAACCGGGCACGTGTGCACAGGCTTTTGCGGTTCTGCTCTGTTCTGTTGAAGACCAATTAAACGTGCTTCACTTCATTAGAGCGATGGGTGATGAGTGCTGCTGATAGATGTTAATAGAATAGTGAAGTAGTGACAGCAACCTACCGTCCTTGTTCATTCCCATTTGAAGGCACTTCTTGAGCCTGCAGGCCTGGCATTGATTCCGATGCGCCTTGTCGACGATGCAGCGTCCCGTGCCCGCCTGGCAGCTGCAATCAAAATATAGTAAGTACGTGAGGGTGAGAGAGGCATTCATCGATTAGACAGTAGAGTACCGAGGAAAGCACCAGTTGCCGGGCATAATTAAGTTATTCGCCTCCTATCCTCCCGCAGATAACGAGATTTGTCGTGTCAAAAATTGCAACATTTGTCAAATCCGACCGGAGCAGAACACAAAGGAGCAGACTAACACTAACGTCAACGGACCGGAATGCCAGCCGCCAATAGACGGAGGACAAAAGCACTTCAGAGTCTGTGCTTTAGTTCGTCAGCAGGCAGCAAAAGGATCCATCCACTACCCACAATCCGCAACCTTCTCTTCCATCGACCTTTCGGTCTTTGTTCGCCGCCTCTCCTACTGGTCCTCTGCCCTTTGCACTTGCGGAACATAATCAAATCAAGCCCGAGAGGCCATGTGCTGTGCCCGTTAGCCACTATGTATGACTCCGTGACGCAGAGAGACCCAACCATCCAACCAGTCGCCAGTCGGACCACTTTAGCTTAGTGTCTAGTCATCACTGCCTCTCCTCGCTCTCTAAGCCCGTGCCAAAACTCAAAGATGGACAATTTCCTACCGAATTCCAACTGTTATCCCATTTTATGTATGTTTTGGCGCCTCTGCTAATATCAGCTAACTCACAAAGCACTTAAGTAAATGTATCCAGGAAATACCATTCGTATGCTTACGAGTCTATCCACTTAAAATGGTCACACTTTTATGCAAATTAGCTGGTCTTCGTAAACAAATTATGAAGATTGAATCAATTTGTATGGTCTATAAAAAAGTACAATAATATTTTATAGCCAACTCACTTCCAACTATCAGAAAATTCCGTAAGAGTGAGAAAAACACGTCATGTTTGCCAAGAGATTTGTACATATATCCTATATTTTGAGCATCAGATCAACTTTCGGGTCTTGATGGGAAAAATCATTTTGTTTCTAAGGACAATTGAAATGAAAACGGTACAGATTGCAATTTAATCAAACAATTTTTGTCACTAGCCTCCCAAAAGAAAT